TAGGGGGTAGCGGGTGTCAATTACATCGAGGGTATAATTTAAATGTAATAATAATAGTAATAGTAATTAAAAACAAAATAAATATACAAAAAAACATAAGACATTAGGGATTGATTGAAAGATTATGTGTCACAAGTGGTCACCAATGATGAGCACATCGTAACCGATGCCCTGATAGTCATCGGAGACAAACCGTATGACCACTTCTTGGGCGCCGACACCGCCCGACACAACGCTAACTGAGCCGCCCTTTGGCCACAAACGACTGGTCCGGCGATCGATGACCACAACGCCGGTGATGAGCCAACCCGTGTCCACTCGATACGTGACCACTTCGTCGACCCGATGCCGGCCGGAGAGCAGCGATGAGATGATGTAATCGCGTTCAATGGTGTCAGTGATGAGCACCCGATGGCCAGCCGTTGGGTTGACGTATAGTTGGCCAGAGTTTGAGCGTTGGTTAGTCTCGTGGATGTGTTGACCGACCAATCGGTATAGTCTTGAGATCGCTGTCTGAGTGGTCGGCCCTCCGGAGGCTAAGATGTCGCTGATTTTGGCCATAGTTTTGTCCAGAGGTTTGTTAGGCGGTCGACGACGGCAGAGGCGGTGCCGGAGACTCTTCAGACAGTCCATGGGATCAGTTGACAAGTGATGTCCTGGCGTTTTGAGTGATTATGCAATGATTTTTAGTGATTAAACACGTGGTTAAAGTGTTGATTGTTTTGTGTGGCAAATGTACTGTACATGTAATGCAAAAGTTTTATTGTTTTTTGGGTAACAGTTTTAGGTATGAATATTGAGTTGATTTTAAGTTTGAGTTTTTTATTTAATTTTTAGTTATTTGAATGTTTTAATCAAATGTTTAGGTTTTTAGTTGTAATTTTTTGACAGTGATTTTCTGATTTAATTTATGTAATTATCATTATTGTTTAAGTTAGTTTTATTAATTAAGTTATAATTATTATTACATATCGCAAATAATCATAATTGTTAAAAAAAATAAAAGTATGTTACAGTATAATTAACAAAATGTACGAAACATTAAATGGTAATTAAAATTAATTTAATATTTTACAAATAAAATAACACATTTATAAACATATAATTAGATTTAACACTTAAAGTATCAATTAAAAATTTTAATTTAAAACAAGTAAAACTGTTTGTTAAGTAAAAAGCATTAAACTTTTTTGCGGATCAGATCGAGGACTTTGTCTTCTTCGCCAATGATCTCAATGGATCCGTCTTTGTGTCTGATGTAGTGAACTCGGTTCCAGTGTTCCTGATTGTGCATATAGTATATCTCAGCGATGGCACCGGCGGTCGCCATAGCCATCAATAGGCCACAGAAGCCGTAAAAGTTTGACTGCCTGTACGGCTGATCCAGTTTTGACTAAAACCATACAATTATGGTTTAATAGAAATTTGTTTTAATTATATTATTATATTATATTAAGTAATTAATTAATTTTTTAAATGCATACAAACGTATCGTAGCATAAATACGATGCCGACCCGAATAATACCCCGATGATTGTGCCGTTGCCCACGTTGGCTATAGTCCGGATCACGTCCAGTACTGTCATCCTGGTTGAAGTTAAATGTTATTAACTCCTTGGTTTATTTGTTTTGTAATTTATAACATCACTGCCATTGTTTGATGATGATAAATCAGCGTTAAAGTATCCGGGGCATTTCATATGCGATACGAAATAGGGTAAAAATAGTTGTGATGTCAAACAATACAATGGACTAATCCATAGTGTAATATGTGATTAAATTCTTGAGATTAGATAACACATGAATGTCAGATATAAGACAAATAGTGATAATGTATACAATATGTAGACAATAAATAAATACAACCATATTTTTGCGATTAATTATCATCAAAAAGCAAATAAACCAATTGTTTATTTAATTTGTTATAAATTTGCAATTAATTAATAATTAATTAATAATAACTTATAAATTTAATTGATAATTACTAAATTAATTAATTATAAAAAAAACTATACATTCAAGTTGAATAATTGTCATTTAACAAGATTTCTGATTATTTTGTACTAAAAACCAGAAAACAATGTTTTATTTATTTAATTAGTTTTAATTAATCAATCACTAAATTTAATTAATACGTGTGATTATATTAAAATTTAATAAATGATAAATCAAGTGTTTCATTGACTTTTTAAACTGTTAAATATGTTAACCAAAGGCATGAGCAACGACTTGGGCCGCGGGCTCAGAGGGGCCACCGGTTTGGGGGTTAACTCAACGATTGGCTGACATTTGTCGGCCACGTCTGCGTCCGAAGAGTACTCTTTAGGACAAATCATGTTCAAAACGTCGTCGGCAAAGCCGTCCAACATTTTGTTTACCTCAACGGCCGTCTCATCCGTACATTTCGGGTCACCGGCCGACCCATCCCTTACCACTGCCAGCACTTGCGACTTGTATTCGTTGAAATTGCTTTCAAAGTAAGATTTTATAAATTATTTATAAACTTATTTATTAACTAGTTTTCAACATTTTACAAATAATTTTTTCATCATTTCTCTCTCTCTCTCTCTCCCCCT